AGAAATTGGGCAAGTGCTGAAAACGACACCAGTGAACAGAACATGTGTCGATAAAGTCTTCTGCGTTTTCCAGAGCTGAGCTGAAGATTTGGCTCTCAGCTTTCTAGAAGCCAGGGCAGAAAGAGAAAGCAGCATGCGTCCAACCCAAAGAGCTGTGTGCGGTGCCACAGCACAGGGTCGGAAACGTCTGTCCCGGTGTCACAGAACACCTCACAGTGATGGGGACCCCTCCCCAGCAGGATAAGTTCAGCAGCAGCTGCTCAGGGATTCTCTTTTCTCATTCTCACCATGATGCTATCTGTTGATCACTCATGATAGGTCAGGAGCAAACACTTTGCAGTCCCAAGTTCCTTTTAGTCTGAAAATGGCACTGTGTGTTAGGTACTGCTGCCTGCTTATATCCGCTTTGGGCAAATTCCTGCCTCTGTGTACCTGATTATCTCTGTGTGATGGGGATCCTAACGTTGAAACCTCACCAGACTTTTGTGATGAGTCAGATAAAGCATCTAAAGGGTGGTGTCAGTGTATCAGTGTGCAGTGTACTTGTCAGCTACAGCTGCGTAACAAGCAACCCTGAGACTCCATGGTTAAGTACCAATCATTTCGTTAACTCCAGATTCTATGGTCCACCTCCAGCTGATGAGTCAGTTCCTGTCCAAGCCGGTTTCCAGCCAGATGTGTGACTGGAATGGATAAGAGGTCCAAGATGGCTTCCCTCAGAACTGTGATGTCTCCCACACCTTCACTTGCCTGCTTGGGCGTCAGCCTGCCATGGTGGGCTTGGAGGAGCCAGATAGACTTCTCAGCAGGTGCCTGGGGCCTTCAGGGCTTCCATCTGCAAGCGCTGCAGCCTCCTCGAGTCACACAGCCTTGCTTCCGCCCCATCCCAGTGGTTACCCAGGTCCCAAGGCCTCGGGACGCCTCCTGCCTTGCCAGCCACAGAGCAGCCCCGAGCGGGGGCTGGTGCTGCCCTTCACAGCCTACTCTCTTTCCTCCTGGGCGCTGGCTGTTTCCCAAGGTGCTGCTGCTGGGCTAGAGCACAGCCCAGCCCATCCTCAGGGCGTCCCAGGCGCAGAGGGGAGGCTGGGTCCTGATCCTGTGGAGCCAAGCCCAGCACTCGGTGGCTGGACCACGCTGCCCCGCCTGCTGAGCCTCAGGGGTGCTCTGAGGCGGAAGGAGATGCTCAGGTGAGTGTGGCGGCTTAGGGGGCACCAGCTGGGACTGTGGGTGAGCACTGTGTGTGGAGCCTTGGGTAGATTAAACCCTATGAAAGCCCATTGGCGCTCTGTTCCAGGCGTCATACTGTGGACAGGCAGGTTGTAGATAAAGGGGCTCAGGTGATGCTCCCAATTCTCCTGACAGGAAATTTGTTGTCTCCAAACTGCACATGTTCCCTTGTGCAGGACTTATCAGAGCCTTCAACACGCTAACGGGCGTGGTGTATTTCCTGTGGGGGAGATGGGTGCAGTTTCCCTGGCATATATATTTTTCTCATATAGATTGAGTAGCCCTTATCTGAAATGCTTGGGGCCAGAAGTGTTTCGTTTTTTGGTCTTTTGAATTTTAGAAAATGGGCATCGATTTTATCAGTTGAATAACCCTAATCCTTAAATCTGAAGTGTTCTGGGATGGGAAACAGTTTGAGTGTCACGTCAGTGCTCAAGATATTTTAGATTTTGGGAGCATTTGGGATTTGTGATTTTGCAGGCTGGTGCTCTGTTGTACTGTTTTATCTTGGCGTAATTTTAGATGTATGCGAAATCACGAGAACAGTACCAAGAATCCCCTAGCCTCTTTCGCCGGATTCACTTGTTACTAACACAGTTGTTTTACCGTCCCCATAGGCATGTTTTCTCTGTCTTACAGAGTCAGTCTACAGATTCCATACCTACCCTGTAGCCTGTTACACCATTTAATTTCACAAGTGTGATTTTGCAACATGATGGACCTTTGCTCCCTAAACATTTCAGCGTTTGTTTCCTACACATAGACTTCCTCTTCCGTTCCACAGTTCCGCTAACAGAGTCACAAAGTGCCCACGAATACAGTGCTGTCCTCCGCTGTCCCGGCCTTATGCCTCGTCTGTCTTTAACACCCGTCACTGGAAAGACAATCACAGATCGCGCCTCGTGGGGTTCAGCTGTGCTGTTTCCCGTCTCTGATTCTGGAGCAGTTCCGCTATTTCTTTCTCTGCCATGATTTTACATTTGGGCTTTGTTTTGTTTCACCCAGGGCCTCACGCTGCCGGGAGAGGGCTTTACCCCAGCTGGGCCCTGGCCCTTCTGAAGCGCTGTGTGGATACCCCTGCCTGGGCCCCACCGAACCCTTCCCCGGGCTCGCACTCAGAATGCCCCAAAAGTGACTCCTTCCGGGACCTCGGGAGCCCCTCTGTTCCGGTACTGGTGCCTTAGCTTTGATCCCTTAGGCTGACGTCTGCTTCTTCCTGTGTAAACTAGAAGTACCTTGTGACAAGAGAGTCTGAGGTCGTGTAAGTGTTCTGTGTCCTCGTCAGACGGTGCCTTGTGAGCGTGCGTGCTCTGAGCCTGTCCTTTCCGATGAGGGGCCGGGTGGTGACTTTCTAGCTTGATTGGTGTTTTATTTATTACGTGCACCGTAGGAAGAGCTTTCCCTCCCTTTCCCCTGTCTCCTTTCTCCCCTTCCATCTTTGTCTCCTTGCTTCAGTCGACACGGACTCGTGTTGTGGCTTCATTCTTATTTATTCTGTCATCTGTTACCACCCAAGTCATTTCCAAGCCCGGTTGTCCCCAATTTGGCTCACAGGAGATCGATCCTTCAAAAGGGCCCATGGTGACGCATGGTGAAAGTTTAAATTTGGAAAACTTATTACAGTAAGAGACCCGGTTGCCGGGCCCCCCGGCCCCCCGAACACACTCACCCCATCATCTCTGCCACTGTCTGAAGCGGTCCTGGAAGCCGGCTCTAGTTGTCCCGCGGTGGCTGCCTCAGTGTCCTGAGTCGATTCAGAATATTGATCCTCCACGGTCAGCTTCCCTTTGGAGAAGAGCCAGGAGTTTGTGGTGCCGGATGTGGGTACGGTGGGTGAGACACAGCTGCCTCCCGGCTGCTGGGCCTGAGCCGCACTCACTGCTTTCTTCATCCGGCCTCCTAGAGGCGCGCAAAAGGGCCTCCGGAGCTGCTTCAGGAAGCGGCCAGAACGGCGGGATAACCGTGCTTGAAACAAAGGGGAACATTTTGAGGGTTTTCGTGGCAGCGTAGCTTTCACCGTAATAATTTTTGAATTTAAACGTGCCGTGTCTTTGTAATCAGTGCGCGTACATCTGCACGCGGTGAAGGTGCAGACCTTGAGGGTAGTACACGAGCCTCACGTGGTGTCTACAGGGTCCTGAGAGCCGCACAGCCCCTGACCCTAAACCCCGAAGAGGTAAAAGACTCGCCGGCCCCTCAACGGCCCCTGGTGCCCCTCCTCCCCGTCTGCACCCCACCATCGGGGGCGCCTGCTCTGAAAGTCGTCCTCGCGTCTTCCTCCTAGATGAGCCCCATCCGTCGTAAAACATCTCGTAGACAGAAAACTGGGTGTTCTTTGCACGTGGTGTGAGCTTCAGACTCACCCGCCTCGCTCCGTGCTGCCCGGGACCTGGAAAGCTGCGCCCGCAGCACCCCAGGAAGTCGCCTCGTCACAGCGTGCGGAACGCGTCCGTCGCCTGGGTTACCTCGTGTGGAGCGCAGGTGCGGCAGATGCCGAGATGCCCCGTGGACTGAGGATCTCCGTCTCTCCTCGGCAGAGGCCTGGGCACGGAGTGACCGGGTTATGGGGTGATTGTTACACTTGCTTTTCTAAGGCACTTCCAGGCCGTATTCCAAACAGTTGTGCGTTGTTTTTCCTGTGTGACGTCGTGGTTTCTCCACATCCCCATTAACATTCGGGTGTTTTTAAAAAGTGTTTCTGGTTGTAGCTCACCGTGACTTGAATTGGCATTTTCTCGATGACTAATAATGCACGATGCTTCTTGTAGCTTATTTGGGAAGCATCGGGTCAGTGTTTTTGCCTTACTCAATTGGTCATTTGTCTTTTATTGAGCTGCAAGTATTTTTTTAACTCATTTAAAATTATTTATTTACTTTTGGGTACCGGGGATCGAACTCGGGACCTTGAGCCTTGCGAGGCAGGCAGCGGAACCACTGAGCTAAATCCCCGGCCCCTGCAGGTATTTTTTAAAACTGGGGATGGAACCCGGGTCATTCTGTTATTTTTTATTCTGAGACGGTCTCACTACATTGCCCAAGCGGGGCGGCCACTTGCCTCCTGCCTCAGCTTCCCAGACTGCTGGGATTGCAGCCGTGCGCCCCCACCGCCTGGCCGAACTGAATACATTCTTTCGCATTCCGGGCACTGGCTTCTGACAGATACGTGCTTTGCAAGTTTTGTTTCCCACTGTGGCTTGCTCATGAGTGAAGCGCCTTGATAAACATTTGTTTTCCACTCTGAAATCTAAATTACCCATTCCCCACCCACCTCACTTTCGGGCCGTTGATTTCTGTGTCCTCAGAAACTTGGTGCCTTCCCAGGTTACAGAGATCCTCCCAGCTCCTGTTCTAGCAGAGCTATGTTTAGTGCCGATACATCGGCTGAGGTCCTCAGGAACTGGTTTTCACCCTGATAGGAAGAACGGGCCCTGTCTTGTTTTCCACACTGATGCCAGTGGCCCTATGTCCCTTGCTGATTAACCTCCTCCTCCCTGTTGAACGGCTTTGGTGACTCTGAAAACATCACTTGGCCGTACACCTTGGAACGGGGTCCATTTTTGTTTTTTCTGCTCTGTTCTATTGGTCTGTTTAAAGTTCTATCCTCTTTTTGTCTGTTTTCCTCTTTTCTTCCAGTATATATCGACCTATCTCACTGACTCTTCTGTCGCCCTGAAACACCTGTCGAGAACAGCCAGTGATTTTTTCCTTTTCTTTTTTTTGAGATAGTATTTCACTGTATTGCCCAGGCTGGCCTCAAACTGCTCGAGTTTAAGTGATCCTCCTGCCTCAGCCTCGAGTAGCTGAGACTACAGGTGTGTACCCCATGCCCAGCATAATGTTTGTTTATATATTTTGTACCTTTTTAGACCTAGAATTACTGATGGGTTCTTGTCTTAGTCCATTCTGTGTTAACAAAGTCCATTCTGCTATAACAGAGGACCTGAGGCTGGGTAACATGTTCAGTAAAGAGGTTTATTTGCTGGCTGGAGGGTCCAGGTAGCACGGTGCCAGTTTCTGGCCAGGGTATGCCACAGCATAGCAGAAAAGCATAAAGAAAAGCAGCCAAGTGCTGGAGAAGCTCATACACAAGCGAGGAAGCAGGACAGAATGCCAGTTTCACTTCTAAAAGGGTGTCGGTGGACTTCTCGCATGACTGGGGCTCACGCCTGTAAGCAGTGTTACTCTTACAGACCTGACCTCTCCTTCCGGTCCTGACCTTTCGACTTCCACCGCCTCAGCATGGCCACACTGGGGACCCGTAGTCACATGGGACTCCTTGGAGGATGCAGAACCAGAGCGGTTCTTTCTGGTTTCTGTTTCTCATTCTGTGCATTCAGTGCAATATTTTCCTTATGACCTCAAGCACAGCTATAATCGCTATTTTATATCCTTGTCTTTTTCTAGTGTCTGAGTTGTTGTGGAATTGACCTTCATTGACCGCTTTCTCTTGTAATTATGGGTCACACTGTCAGATTTCTTTCTAGTAATTTTTTTTTTGTTTTTGATTTTTTGAGACAGGGTCTCACTATGTAGCTGAGTCTGACCTGGGACTCACTATGTAGCCCAGGATGGTCTCAAACTCCCAGCAATCCTCCTGCCTCAGCCTCCTGAGTGCTGGGATTACAGGGGTGTGACACCACACCCAGCTTCTTTCTAGTAATTTAAAACTGTGTTCTGAAGTGGGTGTGCTGGCACACACCTGTAACACCAGCTACTTGGGAGGCTGAGGCAGGAGGATAGCAAGTTTAAAGGCAGCCTGGGCAACTTAGTCTCAAAGTAAAGAATGAAAAGTGCGGGGAATTCCGGTGAGTGGTACAGAGCTCGTCTAGAATGCATGAGGTCCTGAGTTCAATTCCCAGCATTGAAAAAAAAGGGGACATTTTAAGTGATGCAGAGACTCTGGAATCTTTCATGTTTTTCTGAGGAATATTAATCTTTGTTTTTTTATATTTCAGCAGGTGATTAATATAGCCAGACTCAAAATCTAAACTGTCTCCCTATGGTGGACTGTAGCTAAAATCAGTTTATTTCTCTTAGTCTTAACTGTGCTTCTTGGAATCTGTTCACACATGAGAGATTCAAGGATCAGCCAGAGATTTGTACAGAATTTATTTTGTTTAATGAATTTTGGTTCTGGGGATCAAAACCAGAGACTTGTGCATGCTGTGAACGTACTCTGCTGTGAGCTACACCCCCAGCCCTGGACAGAGTTTATCAAAATGAAGTACAGAAACCAGCAAACCGTGTTTTGTGGGATAATGACTCATCTGATCCTCTGCAGGTCCCCTCTTTGTTTCCTGACTCCCATCCTCGCCTTGAACTCTGGCTTCTGAGTCTTTCCTCAGTGAGACCACAGATTTCCATCAGTGTTCTGGCCACTCCGAAGAGATCTTGTCTATGGCATCTCCTTGCCCCCACAGGGGGTTGCTGCTTAGGCCCCACTCACTTTAGATGGAAGGGTCTCACTAAGTCACTAAGTTGCCCAGGTTGGGCTCAAATTTGAGATCCTCCTGCCTCAGCCTCTCAAGAGTGCTGAGATGACAGGTGTGCACCACTATGCCTGCCTTAGACAGGATCTTATATTTTGTCTTGAGTTTCTAACTGTTGCCCTGGAAGGATTGGCCAATTAAATCTCCCACCACTGGTGGAAGTGGAGGCTCTCCCACGTCCTTTTGATATGCCCCTATTGTTCCTTGAGCTCAACTTTCTTTACGACCAGACGATGTCAATGTCCCATTCTCCTATCTTCCCTGAGGTGGAACAAACCATTCCCGCAAAGGCTCCGTGGTTCCTCTCACTGGAGAACGGGTTTCAAAAACTAAGACCTTGGTGTTGATTGTGTTCATTCCCAGCAGGGCCTTGCTGCTTCTCGGTCCTCAGTGGACAGGCATGGAGAGCGAGGTAGGAGCACATGTATCTGTGTCTGTCTACACAGCTCTTTATAAAGCCGTGCTAGGTGCCTGCCTACACATGTCTGTGTAGACAGATAACTTTCAAGCTTAGCTCACACGGATGTCCCCAGTCCAGTTGTCTTAATCTGTTTTCTGTTGCTCCAGTAAAACGCCCGAGGCTGGTTACTTTATTACCCAAAAGAGGTTTACTTAACTCGCGCTCCTGGATGTTCCAGAGAATGGTGCTGGCTCGGCTCTGGTGGGGACCTTGTGACAGGTGGCACCGCCTTGGCGGAAGTAGTTGCAAGAGCAGCAGACCCCCTTCCACGAGGCCCGACCCCAGACTCATCACACTGGGGACCCTCTGGGGACTCTTGCGCACCGACCCTAACCGGCCGCAGCACCCTTCCTCCGTCAAAGGGCTCCTGCTGGTTCCCTGCTTTGCCACTGCAGTTTCCCACGTTCAGCTGCACGGAAGCTGGCCCTACTCATCCACAATACATTTTCCTGCTCGTTCATGAAGTACTTTCAGAATTACAAGCTCACACCACCCCCCCAGAAAGTGAACCTGGAAACGGTATTTGTTTCTTCTTGTCCTTAGCTGCAGGGTGTTTGGAAGTCACTTGGGGCCGTTTCACACCCACCCAGGGTGAAGCTCTTGCTCCCATGAAAGCGGTTCAGGTCCCTGGTGTCTGCTGGCATTGATTTTAGGTTTATCTCATCCGTATTGCTTTTGGGCCTCTGTCTTTCTGACCACGTGAAGTATTAAGAAGGCCCTGGAAGTCGGAGACACACAAGCAGGGCGTTCCTGCTGGCCATCTGTGAGGGACACGCTGTCAGGGCCCGCAGGCTGCCCTTCCGATCCTTGGGGATCCTCTCCCTCTCAGTCTTAGGGTGACCTGGTAATTGATCAGACCCCCTAATTGGTTAAATTACGGAAGAACCAAATTTCTTAAGACTTTGTTTTTGTTTTTGGTACCAGGGATCAAACTCGGGACCTTGTGTTTTTGAGGCAGGTGGCAGCACCACTGAGCTAAACCCCCAGCCCTCTTAAGGCTTTGTAAAAAGATCATTAGCTTGAGAAAATTGAAGCACAAGCAAAGAAAAAGTGTCGGCACTGAGCCCTGGAGCCATCAGGGTCCCTGGAGTCACAGTTATTTCTTTGTTTATTTCTTTGTTTGTTTGAGACAGGGTCTCACCATGTAGTTGAGACTGACCTGGAACTCGCTATGTAGCTCAGGCTGGTCTCGAACTCACAGCGATCCTCCTGCCTCAGCCTCCCGAGTGCTGGGATTGCAGGCGTGCGCCACCACGCCTGGCTCCTTGAGTCACAGTTAGGCTCTTGCCTTGGACAGTCGGAAGTTCATTGTCTGTGCTCCATGTACAGGCAGCTCCACGCTGGCCTCTGAACATGCTCCACCTTGTTTTGGAAAGTCACTTTACTTTCTTCCTCTCTCTCTCTTCTTTCCTGTCTCTCCCTCCCTCTCTTCTCTTCCCTCCTTCCCTCACCTGTCTCCTCCCTTTCTTTCTCCTCTTTCCCCTTCCTTCCTTCCTCCCATCCTCTCCTCTCCTCTCCTCTCCTTCCTTCTTTCTTGGATTGAATCTCAAGACTTCCTCACTGAGTTATTTTTTTTACTTTGAGAAGAGTTTGGCTAAATTTCCCAGGCTAGCCTTGAACTTGTGATCCTCCTGCCTCAGCCGTCCAGAAGCGCTGGAATTATAGGCATCTGCCATCACACCTGGTTGTCAGCCCTTTGTTATTTTTAATTTTTAGTTTGAGTCAGGGTCTTGCTGAGTCACAAAGGCTGAGGTTGAAGTTGAATCCTCCCGCCTCAGCCTCCTGCAGTGCTGGCATTACACGCATGTGCTGCCAGGCCCAGACACTTTATTGAGGTATAGGCCTGGCTGGACAGCACCTATACAGAAATCCCAGCTGCCTGGAAGGGTAGGGCAGGAGGATCTCAACTTTGAGGCCAGCTGGGGCAACGGTCTCAAAATAAAATCTGAAGGGAGTGGGGATATAGCTCAGCACTCCTGGAGTTTGATTCCCAGCACTGCACATAAACAAACTGTATAAAGGCGTAATTTACACGCAAGAGAGAGAGTCCTTGTGAGGCTGCATCTCTGTAAGTCTCACACTTGTCCAGCACCAGTCCTGACTTAGGGCCCTGCCCTCACCCCAGACTTCTCTCTTGTTGCTGTGAGCCCCTCACATGCCCCCAAGTGCTCGCGCTGGGTACTTGGCCTTTGGCAGTAATGAGAACATCATGAAAATGGAACATACACACCGGTGACATGGGACCCTGGCCATCTTCCGCCAGCGCACTGGACCTGAGACTTGGGGACGCTGTGTGCGCTGCCCCTGTCCTGCTGAGCATTTGCCCGGACACAGCACCGCCCATCCACTCGGATCAGAAGAATTTTTGGGTTGTCCCGTATTTGGCAGTTAGGACTAGGGCTGCTGTAATCCCTGGCCTGGAGGTCTTTGTGGAAGGCACAGCTTCTTTCCTCTGGGTAATAGCGAACGTGTGATCCTGGTTCCAAGAAGCTGTTGCCAGTCTCGGAGGCGGCTGCCTTGTTTCACCTCTCCACCTGCACAAACGCAGTCTCTCTGCACCCGTGCCGGCAGCTGCTGTTATCATGGTTTGGGTTTGTGTTGTTTTCTTCGCCCTAATGGATGTGTAGTTGTGTTTTGTTTTGGTTTTCATCTTCATTTCTCTAGTTGAGCACCTTTTCATTGTGCTTTTTTGCCATTAATGTGTCTTCTTTGGCAAAGGATCTAAGTATTTGAATCTTTTGCTCATTTCAAGTGGGGTTGCTTTCTTATTACTGAATTTTGAGAATGGATTATACAACTCTGTGACTTGTCTGCGTTTTTTTCCTCTTATTTGGGGGCGTTTTTTGTTTTTTGAGATGGAGTCTTGGCTGTATTGCCCGGGTTGGCTTGAACTTACAATCTTCCTGCCTCAGCCCTCCCAAGTAACTTCGATTATGTCTTTTCGTTGTTTTAACAGTATATATTTTTTGTTTGTTTGTTTGGTTTTGGTACCGGGGATTGAATTCGGGTCCTTGCACTTGCAAGGCTGGCCACTGAACCACTGAGCTAAATCCCCAGCCCCTTTAACAGTATATTTTGAAGGACAGGGTTTTTAGTGTAGAAGTTCAATGTAGCATTTGTTTTTTTGGTACCGGGGATCGAACTCAGGACCTTGTGCTTGTGAGGCAGGCAGCAGAACCACTGAGCTAAATCCCCAGCCCTCCTTCGTTTGCATTTCATGGATCATGCTTTCGGTGCCACATAGAAGAAACTTTGCCTAATCTGATTCATGAAAATTTCCCCACGTTTTTATTTCTAGAAACTTTATAGTTTTCAGTTTTATATTTATATATGTTTTTTCGGTACTGGGAATCAAACTCAGGACCCTGGGCATCCAATCATTTTGGCACTGTTGGCAAGACTGCCCTACCCCTCCTCAGAATCTTCAATAAAGATTGAAGTTCAGTTGAAGTTCATTTGGCTCCGTGGCCCTCTGTCCCTGGGCTCTGGTCTGTTTGCTTGACTTGACTGCTCTTTGTCTTTGCCATAAGACAAAGGAAAAAGTCCCACTCCTGCTCTGTCTGCGGCAAGGTGACCGAGTCACATCTTGAAGACCTCTGCTAGTCTGGGTCCCTCTGGCTGTCTCCGGAAGTTTGTTCCGAGACAATTGCCCGGTTCTGTGAGCAAGTTCTGGCTGTGTGGGAAATGCCCCGGGCCGGTGACAGAGACACCCAACCTTGGTGAGGCCGTGGTGGCCCTGCGTCAGGCCTTGAGAGACAGGAGTGAGCTGCAGCGGCACGTGGCCCCACAGCGGAGAGAACCCTATGGAGCTAAATGTGGGCCTGGGGGCTCAGGCTCAGGGAGGGGACCTCAGAGCCGTGTTCTCTCCCTGGGCTTCCCAGGCCTCGGTGGCGTCTGTACAGTGGGCCGGTCCATCGAAGCTGGTCTGCGGCTCCCTGGGGCAGACGTTCAGGGCCTTTTGCAGGACCCTCCTTTGGGATGAGCTCCTTTGGTTCTCGGAGAATCTGGGAGGAGAGGTTCGCATAATTTGGACCATTTCACAAATGCGCTGTCTGATTTGAAGGAGATCTAGCAACTTCCTGCCCAGTCTGAGGCCACGCAGCCTCTTGTGCTGCCCCTACTCTGTTCTCTCCACAGGCAGCATCACGGTCACTGCCGACTTGGCACAGCTGAGCTTCCTCTTGCGGGACAAGCATCAGGTAGCGGGAACAGCACCAGCATGCACAGTGTCTCCTGTGTCCTCATGCAGACCCACAGCTGGGCCTGCGGAGAAGAGCTCCGGCTACAGGCGGGGGTTCAGGCCCCACCCTGGAGGCTCCTGGGCGGGGCCAGCATCCAGCCTGACAGTGCCGGCCCGGCTGTGGGCGGGGCCTGCACCTGGGCCTTGGGCGTGGCCCGAGCCAATTCAGCACTGGGTAGACGGGGCCTTCGAGGTCGAATGGCTTCTTCCCCAGACTCCCAGGTCTGGAGCCCAGCAGGGAATGAAGGAGCCCCCAGACCCCGAATCGAGGTTGCCTCCAGCTGCAGTCCAGGACTGCAGTTGGAAAATGACTCCAACCCCCACGGCTCTCACTTCTTAGGGGTCGTGCCCTGGAGGGCTCCAAGGTGCAACAGCTGGAAGAGGTTACTGTTGGCCCTGTTCCCTCTTCCCTCTTCCCAGGATTCAGCCCTGACCTGAGGAGCAGGAACCCCAGAAAGGCAAAGGTCTTACCTGGGCTGCACCTGGGAACGGCGGGGTAGGCTGGGCCAGATGAGGTGGCCTTCCTGTCGAATATGGTCCTGCCTGGTGTGTGGGGGACACTGGGACCTGGGGACCTTTAGGGACAGGTGAGCTGCCTGGAGCCCTGTCCAGCTCCTGCCAGAACCAGATGGGCTGGGTAGGGCTGGTCGGCCCAGTGGTCCCATCCACTGCAGCCTGCCTTGGCCTCTGGACCCCAGGACTCCCCTCAGAGGCAGGGAGCGCTTGCTGCTGGCCCAGGTGAATGCAAACCGCTCAGCCCACCTGGCGCTGTGGACCTTGAGGGCTCAGCTGGACGCTGCTCTTGGCCTGCGGGATCCCAGCTTCTGGGCCGCCAGCTCCACACCAGGCTCAACCACACCGTGCCCGGCCTCAGGCACCAGGGCCTGCCCTCCTTCATGGATGGCTGTGGGCCCTTCGGGTGCGTGAGGAGGGGCTGGACCGGCTCCACTTGGGGACGCCCACAGCTCTCTGCTCGAGGGGCAGGACGCCGTCTAGGGGCTGGGCTGACACGAGCCTGGATGGCAGGCGCCCCCTGCAGCACCAGGGTGGAGGGAGCAGGGCCGAGGGTGACCCCAGTGCCGGGCCTGGGCTGCTGGGTGCCCTGCTGTCCCTGCTGCAGGTGAGTCAGCTTGGTGCCCGTGGGTACCCGGCTGTGGCCGCTTCCTCCAGATGCCCTTGCTTACCTCCCTGCCCTCCCTGCCCTCCCGTCCACCCGCCTGCTTCCTCTCCTCCTGGCCTCCTCTCTGCACACCTGCCCAGCTTCCTCATCCGCTCTTTCTCCCATCCTGTCCCTCCCACCAGGGCGGGAAGTGCCCTTAGGCCCTGCCTGGTAAAACTCTTACTGGGCCCCTCTCCCGGCTCCTTCCGGGGCCCCCGAGAGACCTGCTCCTGGACAAGGTGTGTACCCCACTTTCTCTTTGCTGCTCTCAGTAAGGAGAAGCAAGAAGGCTCCTGTGTGCTGTCTGCGTGGGAAGCAGTGTGTGAATGGTGGCCGGAGCTGGGCCAAGGCATCGCGTGACCTTTGGCAAGTTACTTTCCACGCCTTGTCTCCTCATCTGCAAAGCGAGCTATTCAGAATCCCCACCACCTGTGGTGACTTTGAGGCTGACAGGGAACCACCTCGCCCAGTCTGGCCCACACTGTGTTTCCTCCCATTCGCTGTGGCTCTGGGGATTGCTCAGGCCTCTGTAGACCTGTCCTGAGGGAGTGTTTTCCCATGGTGTCATCCCCAACAGGGTGGAGCCAGTCTTAGGGCTCAGAGCAGCAGCCCAGCCTCAAGTCCAGGGGGGAAGAAGCTCACTGTCTCCCGTCTCACTGTCTCCACAGATCACCTGCCGGGAGATGCCTCGCTGCCCAGCTGTCGGGACGGTGCCGGGAGGACAGCACTGGGTGGCCTCTTGAGGTACAGGGGTCTCTTTCATGGCAGGCAGCAGTGCATGCTGGTCCGCCTCTGGGAGCCAGAACAGCTTGCCCGGAGCGTGTGCCAGGGCTCAAGTCATCGGGCACTGACCCACATCCTCAAATCTGCCAGAGTCACAAATCTTTCCCATAAGGGGCCGGATGGGCAGTGTTTCCGAATCTGTGACTCTGCAGCCTCGGCTGGAGCCCGCACACCCACTGTACTGGGACAGCAGCCCTCTGTGAGAGAAAATGCATGCACAGGGCTCTGTCCCAATAAAACTTTATTTGCAAAGCCAGGTGGCAGTCCCTGGTGGTTGCGGGCTATGGCTCTTTTCTGTCTCACAGCACCCAGGGTGTCTTCATCTAGCTGGCCTCTTTCTCTCGGACCATTCTCACTCACTACCTCCTCCTCCTTCTTCTTTTTTCCTGGTACTAGGGATCAAACTCGGGACATTATGCTTGCCTGGCAGGCGCAGCACCACTGAGCTAAATCCCTGGCTTACTCACTTCTTGACTTACCTCTGCGCGGTGGCCCTGCAGGGAACCTACTCCTTCTGGGGTCTGAGCTCCTCCCATGCAGCCTGGGTGGCACTGTAGAAACCTGGGGTTTGTGGGTGCTGCCAGCCAGGCCAGCATCTCCTCGGTGTCACTGCAGGTCTCCGTGGACGTCCGCAGCAGCGGCTCTGGCTTGGAGCATTCCGGAGGTGTCTGGACAGACCCTGTGTCCCTCAACTAGTCGCTGAGCTGCTGGTACCATGACGGGAACCTGGCGCTCTCTGGCTGGGGCTGGTACAACGGCGAGGCCCTGCTGCAGGCTGGGATCCCTAGCAAGGTACATCTCGATGCCACTGAGCTGCAGAGCCTGTGTCCCCATGCCAGGGCAGGCCACTGTCGCGGGCCTTGGCCCAGGCGGGCGCGAGGACCCTGCAGGCCCAGATGGCCCTGGGCTCTGGTACATAATGAGGCCAGGCCCTGAACCCAGGCATCTGACCCTGGAGCCTCCCTCTGACCCACAAGTAGATGGCAGGGACTCAGCTCTTGACTGGCCAGGACCCTGCTGGGCTCCCCCAGCCCGGGACCGTCTTCCCTGGCCTACATATTGCCACCTTCGGGCCTCAGTCTGTTCTGCAGTGGGCACCACCGGGTGGGCCCCACTCTGGGTCAGTCTGACCTGGCCTGGGGTTCTTGGGGGCTGCTCTATCTCCCAGCCCAGGGAGGCCAGGGTGGCCTCTTCTAGTGACAGAGACCCGCTGCTCCCCACTCAGCTGTCACAGCTCCTCGGGTCCTTGGGATGAGGGCCACACCCCATCCCACCCTCCCCGGCAGGCGCAATGTTGAATGAGCTGTGAAGGGTGGACGCAGAACTTTCCTGAGGCCTGTGCTGTGCCAGGTCCTCTGGGGCTGCTCTGTAACCTGGACCTGTCCCTCGGGTGGGATGGGGAACTTGACGCTCAGGCCACCACGCTAGGTCAGGCAGTGAGCTGCACCCTGCAGGGCCCTGCACAATACCCAGAGGCCCTGCCCATTTTCTCTGGGGCTCCTGGGCCCAGGTGGACCCCAGAGTGGTTGAGGGCGGACGATGACAAGGACAAGTCCTGACCGGGACGAGGAACCCGGCGCAGGCGGGAGCAGCCTGTCCTTACTGGGGGGCCTTCCTGTGCCGTGACAGGTGGAGGATGCTGGAGCTGAGGGCAGGAGGCAGCTCAGAGCGGCTTCTGGGAGGAGGTGTCACAGCCCCAGGCCAACATCTGGGCTGCAGATGCTGGAAGGCTGATCAGATGGCCCCACTTGTGACGGCTTCTCCTGCTGTGTCCGGGGGCCTCGTCCCTGTCCTGGGAGGGGTGTGTCGGAGCCTCCAGAGCCCATACCCTCTTCTCTCCCCAGAGATCCAGATGCGAGCCCCGCTGGCCCTCCAGGACAGGGATGGAGACCTCAGCGTGGACGTGACAGTCCTAGTGGCCCAGCAGCTGAACAGCACGGGGGAGCTGGTGGTGACACCAGCCACACAGGTGCCGGCTCTCCAGGGGCGGGGCCTGTCCTCCCTCAGCCAGGTGAGGGGCACACAGGTGCCCAGTTCCCACTGCCAGGGTCCCTCTTGGGTGTGAGAGCGGCGATCACACCTGTGTTCCCGCAGCGCTTTCCGTCGGCAGCAGTGCTGTTATACAGCAAATTCTCTATTCCCAGCCGAGGAGCTGCAGTCGAGGGCCCCTCCTGAGTCCTTTCTGTTCATCAAGTCCTTAGTCAAAGGACCGCCTTCCCCTGCCAAGTGTCTGCTCACTTTGCTGCTGTCCTCAGGGTTTTACTTTGTTTTTATTCTTTTTGTGGTACTGGGGATTGAACCCAGGGCCTCTGCACGGAGCTACCTCCCTACGCCTTCTACCTCTCAGTTTGAGACAGAGTCTCACTAAGTTGCACAGGCTGGGCTCAAACTTGTGATTCTCCTGCCTCAGCCTCCCACAGTGCTGGGATTACAGGAGTGCACCACCATGCCCGCCCGTTCTCAGGGTCCCGCGTGCATGTCTTTGTCCTGCCCTCCTGCCATCCGGTAAGAGACAAGACATGGCTGGGGATTTAGCTCAGTGGCATAGCTCCTGCCTGGCAAGCACAAGGTCCTGAGTTTGATTCCTGGTAGAAGGAAAAAAAAAAATGGCAAAACCGCACAACCCTTATGAAGGTCGTCTTTGGAGTTGAAATCCCAGCTCCACTAGTGCTAGCTGTGTGACCTTGAGCAGATTGCTTAGCTTCTCTGTGCCCTCAGTTGCATCTGCACAGTAAGGATGATAATTGTACGTGTAATGTGGAGAATCAAGTGCGTCACCACTCTTGCCCTCCTCCCGCCCTTCCTCAGCTCAGGGCCTGAGAACTATGGGCTTTGGAATAGCTGAGCTCCTCACTGCATCTGACCTTGGATTCACAAGACTGCCTGGTCCTCCACATCTGTGTCCGGAACCGGGCAGACAGGGGAGGGACTCTCAGTGGCTCCAGGGTCTCCTGGGAGGAGAGGAGCCGTGGGCCAGACCCCTGCCATGCCCAGCCGGACACAAAGCACCTCCAGAACCCTCTGCACTGTGCTGATGCACAGACACAGGACCAAGACAGGAGGCTGTGACAGGCCAAACCACCGTTCCAGGCTCACACAGCTCTAAAAAAATCTCCTACCTCTATCTGAATGTGGCTGTGCACACTTGTAATCCTAGTACCCTGGGAGGCTGAAGCAGGAGGGTTGCAAGTTTGATCCTAGTCTGGGCAAGTTAGCAAGACCCTGTCTCAAAATTTAAAAAAAAAAGGACCAGGGATGAATATGAAGGCCCTGGATTTAATCCTCACTACTAAAAAACAAAGAACAAAACAAAACAAAAACCCCAGCCTCTGGGAGAAGCACAGATACATTCTGGCCCGTGAGCCCGTCCTCCCAGGGCTCCACGCTTGTCAGTAGGGGCTGTGAAGGCTGGAGGACCTCTCAGGCCAGCTCAGGGCAGACAGCTATTGCACACTAAGCCACGTGGCCTCCTGCTGGGCTGCAGCACTCAGACCCTGAAAACTCTGTGGAGGAGGCCCTGAGGGTGGCCTGGCGTGGGTTTGCTGCGGGAGACGCGAGGGCCAGGTGCTGTGTGAAGAGGCAGCCATGGGAAAATCCTGCCACCCAGACCTGGCTAGCTCCCTGTTGGGCTTGGGTTCCTGGAAGCCCAGAGCTACTCGGCCTTTTGTACTGATAGGGAAACAGGCTCAGGGAGGCACTTGCTCGGGTGTCAGAACCCGGCAGAGGCCGTGCTGGGATCTGGCACAGTGCCCTGGCTGGAGGCCCCAGCCCCAGGCGAGTAAGGGAGCCTTCACGGAGCTGCTGAGGGTCTTGTGGCTCAAGGGGCCTGTGCGGGCAGTGGCTGGGTCCTGGCCTGGTACTGGACAGGGTGCCCTTGTGCTTGGTACAAGTGCCCTCTTTCTTTCCTTCCAGCAAAGAGCTGCAGGTCTGAGGGTAGCAACACCTCCCCTCCCTCCTGGGCCGCTGGCCCAGCACAGGGTCTGCTACAGCCAAGGTAACTGTGCCCTGACCATGCTGGACGAAACGGGCACCCACTGCTCACCCCTGCACGTGTCCTGGGGGCCCGGGGTGGACGAGAGGGTCCGCCCGACTCCCCCCGGCTTCCCCCTGCCTCTGTGTTGTCACCGTGTCACCTCTTCTGCCTTGCTTCTTGGTGGGCACACCACATCCGGCCCAGGGCCTGGCACATACAAGCTGCTCAGTGGGGGAGAGAGCGAGCACACAGGCCGCCTGGCTCCTGGCAGGCCCTGCTGTGTGTGCGCTTCCCAGTCTCCCCAGCACTGCACGCTCACGCGGGGAACGTCTCTGCTTCTCTTTGGATAACTTCAACCCATATTTCAGCAGTTACCAGAGGATGGCAAATACGCAGAGCCCCGTCATAAAAGTCTGTACCAGTGTTCGTGTGCGTTTTTCTGCATTGTTGAGTTTCGTGGAGTCACTGGAGCTGCCGAACCTCTTTCTTTAGTAGTAAATGCTGCGGCGAGGGTCTTAAACACTGTAGCAAGGGTTCTTTAACAGAACATGGTGCTGCTACAAAATTCGGCGCGTTTAATATTGAAATAGCAGTTACCTAAATATAGCTCATAATAACATTTCCCAGGGTCCCAGTAATGGTCTTTCAAACATTCAACTCAGGATTTAAATGCAGGATGCAAGCCAGGGTCACACAGCACACTTAGTTGCCCTGTGTCTAATTTCCTTAATCCAGAGCAGAAGCCTGCAAACTTTCACTAGCAAGGGCCAGGCAGTGATTTATTTTTGGCTTTACCGCTCATCCCATCTTTCTTGCAGACTTTGCCCCGTCACTGTGGACAAAAGCTGCTACAGACAACGTGTCAGGGACCGGACGTGACTGTGTGACAAGAAAACTTTACAGGATCCAGCTGTAGACCAAATTGACCTGGGGGGCGACTCCTGGTCCAGAACTTTCTGGCTCAACCTCACCTTCCCTACCAGTGTTTTATAATGAAACTTTCTGGCAGCAAAAAACTGAGATGCTTTTACGGTGAACTCTTACCCACATCGTACTTTTTCACGCTGCTCTTTGCCCATCGTATATTTGTATGTTTCAAGCATTATCCTTAACCACCTTCAACAGTTCTGCGCTGACAGTTTGAACACATCTGGGCAGCTCGTTTACAAAAATCTATATTTGACCGATAGCTTGCTCAAGATGCCATGTTGAACGGTTTTACACGGTAACCATCTGTGCATCTGGCCAGCCCCGTGTAAATACCAACTCCTGATGCTCTTCCCAGAGATTCTGTTTCTATGGGTCTCAAGCAGGAGCCCAGGATCGATATTTTAGTTCTTGCCTAAGTGAGTCTGCTATTCAGCCAGCCCGAACTTGGCGCATTCTTTCATGTGATTTTCACAATGATCCATTAGTAAAGTAGGTATCATTATCCTCATTTTTCAGATTAGAAGGCTAAGGCTGAGTGGCTTAGGAGGCAGCTCTCGATCACTCCCACATAGGACAGACCCAGGTCTCTCTGAAGCCGAGCCCTGCGCATTATCCTCTGCTACACTGCCCCCTGCTGCCGAGAGCGGTACTGCAACTAGAATTCTTACCGTTGGCCTCAGGCCAGCAGCTGTCTTCAAGGCAGTTACAGCAGAAAGGGGATCGGAAGAAAGCTGAAAGATGGGGCCGTGGCCACACCTGCCGGCCTAAGCAGAGGCTCTAGACCCTCATTCGCTGGAGTTTGTCCAGACCAGGAAGCTCCAGCTCTCCTGGGTCTGGAGTTGTGGGAGGCAGGGCCTGTAGCCTGAGCCAGGATCGGCCTGAATATTCATCACAGACATAATGAAATCTCACATGTGCTCTCCTCTGACCAGCTGCAGTCTTCTAAGGGTGAGGCCTAGGGCACCTCTGACTTAGGAGTGAAGACCATCGTTTGCACGTCAGCACCAGCCTGTTGGCCCCTGAGGCCGTCTCACCACCACCATCAAGCTGGAGCAGACCTTCCCCAGGTAAGTGGGGAATGGCGCAGGCAGGCCAGGGGTCACCTGCAGCAGTCCTTTGTGAAAAGAAGAATTGCTCGAAGTGCAGTTTCCTGGGAAGACCCAGTGCAGCCAGCCTGTGGAGTGGGCAGGCTTGCTGGGATGGATTCTCAGTTGTTTCTCCTATTCATCTTTCCCTCCTTTCTGCGTTATTAATTGAGCATCTACTACATGTCTGGCACTGCTCCAGAAGTTGGGACGTGGCTTAGAACACGATTCGGACTCCTGACTGTCATCAAGGGTACAGTCTGGTGGGAGTAGTTGACAAAATAATATTATGTAAATAAGAAAATACGAGCCAGGCATGGCACACAGGCAGAGGCAGGAGGATCACAAGTTTGAACTCAGCCTGCACAACTTTGCAAGACCCTGTCTCAAAAATACACAAATGAAGGTTGGGGGTGTAAAGGCCCTGGGTTTGACCCCCAGCACTGATACTGCAATGCCAAATGGTGATAAATGATGTTTGCTGTGAAAAAACAAAACAAGGCGATGACCATGTACTGAGGTTGATTTATCCCAGGTAGCCAGGAAAGGCACCCCTGAGGAGACACTTAAGTGACACCCCAGTGACAAGTGTCAGCCATTTGAAAATGTGAGGGAAGAGCCTTCTAGGCAGGAGCACCACGTGCAAAGGGCCTGGGGTATGAATTAGTTTGAAAAATGGCCAAGGAGCTAGTGGACTGGAGCCAAGCTTCTGGGTGGGGTGTGGTGGAAGCTAGGGGCACCATTCTGTTCTGTTTGAAGGCTGGATTGATCCTGCGAGCCTTGGAGGCCTGATGAAATCTGATCTCTCTGGCTGCTCTGCGGAGAGGGGCCTACAGGTGGCAGCAGAGAGACCATTGAGGAACCGTGAAAGGGGTCAGGGTGGGGGCAGTGGCTATGGGTGTTTGAGACATTTAGGAGAAAACCAGCCCCTGGCAGTCCTGGGCAGTGCCCTCCAGCCCAGGTACCCCCTGCCTCACCCCCCAGCTTCCTCTGCCCCTTGAGTATTTCTGGTGGTCACCGCTGTCACCCTGTCACATCGCCTGTCTGACTTCTCCCCACCCACCTGGGAGCCCCACCTGTGTGCCTGGGGCTGGCTGCTGGGCTGGGGCATCGTACCTGTCCCTCCATACTGGGGAAACTGAGCCCGGGAGCTCCCTCCTGGTCAGGCCCCGGGTTGAGCTTGTCATCCAGAGTTTCCCTTAGAGCCTGGCACTGGTTTTTGTTTTTTCCTGTACTGGGGTTTGAATCCAGGGCATTCACACTGAGCTCCATTCCCAGCCCTCTTTTTATTTTGACAAAGAGCCTCCCTATGTCACTGTGTGGTCCGGGCTGGGCTTGAACTGGAGATCCTCCTGCCTCAGCTTCCCGGACTGCTCGTAGATGTGTGCCACCATGCCTGGCTTGGCACTGGTTTTTTTGCCCCCATCTGACACACGAGCAAAGTGGGGCTCAGCGAGCATAGGAGACCTGCCCCGGACCACACTGCATGCAGGCAGAGCTGAGAGCTGGCCGGCCTCTCACAGGATGTTCTTCCTCCTCCAGCCAAATTCTGGTCATTAGGGAGCATTTGGCTCTGTGACCCCCTGGCAATGTGACCGCGCGATAAGCTGTGAAGGATCCGCACACGTTCCCTTCTCTGCAGCCTGTTCTCCCGCCTCTACTCTGATGCTGCCCGCCCTTGCCAGGGAGCTGGTCCTGCACACCCCAGAGGCATGCCCAGGGGTCCCAGGTCCTGCACCAGACGGTGCTCTGGAACGGCCAGGAGGTGGCTTTCAATGGGAGTCCCTCTGGGCTGGTCCCCAAGCCTGCCAAGAACCTCAGCCTGCGGGGTGGATGTCCCAGGGCTCTTGCTGGCCCAGCCCACAGTTGCTTCCTCAGCAAGCCTTCGGTGGGCAGTGGCTTGTCCCAGCTGCTGTTCCAGGCACTGGGGACCCCTTGGGAAACAAGGTGGCCAGGTCCAGGCCCTCAGAGACGAGCGGTGAGTGGGAAACCTGTCAAGTGTGACTGTGGAGGTACAGGGTTAGGTGGTGGACTGGCAGGCCTCTCTGAGGAGGTGACGTCCAAGCAGAGACCTGAATGACATGGAGCTGGCAAGGTGGAGATGCAAGGAGCAGCACTGCAGGCAGAGGGAGCAGGTGCAAAGGCCCTGGGGTGGTCGTGAGCCTGGGATAGAGCAGCAGCAGTGAGGCCAGTGTGGCCAGACTGCCAGGGGTGTGGTCACATGAGGAGCTGGGGTTTCCCTTAGGATGGAAGGGCAGGTGTCCCAAGGACAGCTGTGGGGACAGCACGGACCCCGGCGTGGGGCACAGCTTGCTGGGTAGCCTGTGGGTTCTCCCAGTCACCTTTGCCACCTATGTACCAGGGGAGAGGATGGGGAGGAACAGATCCTCAGCAAGCCAGGGCAGCTGGTGCCTGCATGTGGGTGTGTGCTGTGCATGTAGCCCTTGCGGGGCTGAGCAGCCTGCAGTTCCACACCTTGTCTGGAGCCTGGGCTGGGGCTCTGGCTCTGCCTGGGGGGACAGGAGGGGTTGCCACCCCCAGGCTGATGATGGCAATGCCTCCAGGCACAACTCCCTGGGCTTTTGCTTGACCTGTGAGCGGTGGGGCTTCATGCAGAGTGCTCAGTCTGCCCACCATGCAGGGGTGAAATCTGGGGTGCAGCCTGTCTGCAGGGAAGCTTCAGCTATGAGGTCCTCCTGTGTCACAGCCCAGGATGGAGTGAGGGCAGGGGTGCCCAGCTGAGGCACAGTGGGTGCTCCTGAGGGGCATGGGCTGCATCTGTCAGCTACTGCTGTGTAACAAATTGTCCTGGGTCATGGTGGCTGAAAGCCTCCATCTTTGCTCACGAGGCTGCCGATCTGGGAAGCTCTTGGCTCCACTGACCCACCTGAGGACTGGCTGGCTGCTCCCCGATCTAACAGCATCAGCTGGAGCAGCATGGTGTTGCTGCCCATGGGCCAGTCCGGGTTTGTCCAGTGGTGGCTGGGTGGGGGAGCAAGAGAGGAAGAGGAAGTTGATGCCCCTTAAAGCTAAAGTTCCAGCTTGGGGCCCCACTGACCTCACCAAACCCCCTCAGGTCGTGAGGCCAGCACCGGGCCAGGCTGGGGGAGTGGATCCTGCCTCTAGGTGAAGGAGCCCAATCAGGCAAGAGGGAGCCTTGGGGCTCCCCAGAGACAGCAGGGTGTATCAGCGGGGTGGTGCGCTGAGCCTGGGAGAACTTGCCCAAGTTGGTGTCCCCTTGGGGTCCCCTGTGCCCTCGTCTTGAGCACTGTCCTCAGCTCGCAGGCCGCTCTCTGCCACCCACTTCCCAGTGGCCCTCGCCCCCAGCTGCATCCCCCCCTGCCACAGCACTGCTGCCACCTCCTGCCGGAGCTCTGAGCGCTCAGGCAGGCAGAAGTCACCAGCCAGACTGGAGGGGGCGCCGGGGTTGGGCGAGGCTGGGCTCTGCCCTGTGCCCGAGCCCGCCCATCCCGAGTCCCCACACCCACCCCGTCAACCAGCCTCAGCGGGCTGCTCTCCTTCCACCTCGGTGTGGCAGCAGTGCGCCGGGCCGGCTGGGGTTAGGGTTAACCCTCCTAGGTGGTGATCTTCTCCGCCCTGCAGCCGAGGAAGGGTAAGGTGGCCATGCGCCTGGCCCTGGCCCACCTCTTCTCCCTGCCCTGCTGGCACTGAGGCCAGGGTCCTCGGCAGCAGCAGGGGTGGTGTGCAGAGCTATCAGGGGAGCAGAGCTTCGCAGTGGCTGGGAGGAAGATGACAGGGACCCCAGAGCCGGGCGTCCGAGGCTGGGCACCTCAAGGGTCCTGCCCTCGCCCGTTCCTCCAGCCGTGCTCCGTTAAGCACCTGCTGTGTGTCTGTCGGCAGCATGGACCTGCGCCTAAGGAAAGCATTTGCCATGGGATCTCCAAGCGTCCTTGACACATTCCCTGTTACGTGGACGCCTCGGGTGTTCAGGGTGAGCGGGGCAGCTGGACAGTGGCACCTGGTGTGTGGCCTCTCTGAGCAGTTTTCTCATCTGTGAAGTGGACGACAGCGGGTCAGGCCAAAGAGGCAGCACCCAAACAAATGAGAAAGCACTCAGTTGCCATGAGCACCACAAAGCAAGCCAAGGGTGCGCTGAGGGTCTGATGGGCTGGGCCAGTGAGGGTCCCTGGGGAGGGACCCAGGGATGGAAAGGAGCCGGCTGTGTGGAGCTGGAGGATGGCAGGTGCAAAGGCCCTGTGGGTGGAAAGCTAGGGAATTTCAGGAAAAGCCAGGGATGGAGCAGCAGTCAGAGATAGGGGAGGGCGCCTTCACGCCCCACCCCAGCCGAGCTTAGCGGCTGGCTGCAGCAGAACGTGGACTACGAGGTTAGCCACAGGCCCTGCCACTGCTCACAGTGCCGGCTCAGGGGCCCCGGGCCCGGCCCCTGGTTTCCCTATCTGTACAGTGAGAACAATCCATGCTCAGCTGACAGCGGAGTACAGCACACGGGAGCCCCTCAGACTTGCTGGGAGCAGAGGGTGAGGACTCAGGTATGGTGGGGGAGCCGGGTCCTGGGATGGGGTCTCCCCCGGCATCTCTGCCCACCTGGGTGTGAGGGACAGGCCTGGAGAAACGGGCGGCGGACCCTGCAGACCCCCCCGCCCCCTGCATGCCTCCCGTTCCTGAGGCTGTGGGCCCCGCCCTCGGTGTCCACCGTGTCGTCCTGCCCTGGAGTCCCGGCAGCGGCTGGGACCCTGGCTCTGTCTGCTGAGGTCCCACACTGGGGCTCGGTGGCCCTCTTCTCAGCAGGGAAAATGAGTCTCTGTGTGAGGCAGGGTTGGATTTGCATTTCTTAGAGGCCTGTCCTGCTGCCAGGCATGGGAGGGTTGTGGCGGGGCGGGAGGGGGGGGGGGGGCCCCC